CATTTCTGACCATAACGGTAGGGCAAGCCTGCCTAACCACATATTGTTTAGTGCGCAATGTTTAGGGCCTCCTATCCCACCTGAATTGGAGCCTCATTCCAAGGCAGAATCTGCGGATGGGAGCAGTAAGATAAGCATGAACAATGTCCAGTTTGATGGAGGGCACATACTCGCCTTGTCCGAGTTTGAAAAGTCTACTGAAACGGTAATTTGTCGTCACATGGGCTGGCACAAGGAGACAACAAAACCAAATTTTAATCTCATCTTGCCATTTTCCCAGTCTTATGTGTAAATTTAGCATCAGGATCATCGTGATCTTCTTCCCTTGCCTGACCTAAACAGATTATGTACATTTTCGAAAGTTTTGGGAAGACCGGTTTTGGGACATATTCGTTATTAAACTGTTAATATGCACAGGCAGGCAAGACATTTTATTTGTTTCTGACGAATGTTTAAATCTTATTCTCGAAGGAGTACGAATTAGCCGAGCCAAAGTGGCTGGCACAGCAAACAAACGGGCTGTAGAATCCGCAGATCCGCGTAGGCACAAACAGGTCAACTGGAAAATAGTCCAGTCTTAAAATTTTACTTTGCACATGCTTTCCTAGAGATTTCTACTTTCTCTTCAAATGGCAACATGTCGGCATAGCACCTTCCCCCTGGCCGTCCAATTATACGTGTTTTTTGTGTCTGATAGAGCAAAATCAGCTATAAAATTGTACTTTCTCGTGGGTCTAGCTGATAATCGCTAATATCGAACCAAATGCAGGCAAACGGTGCATAAGAATAGCGGAATGATTAAAGGTTACTTGTGCCAAATGCAACCATACAATTGAAACGTATCAGAATATGTATATGTCCTTTTGGGATGTTCTGAGCATTAGAGAAGAGGGTAAGAAAGGAAATGTTTATAGGAAACCAACGCATGTTTTTAAGAATTATATTTTCAACCATAGTTACAAAAGTAAGGTTGACATTTTGATGTCGTTGATTATCGGGCATATGAAACTGGGGAATATCAACCATTTGACTAACGAGTTGGAACAGCTGAAAGATTTATTCCTGAAAAATAATTATCTTTTGGGCCTGATTGAGAAGAATATCTAGTTAATGAAGAATATATTTTCACAAGGAGATCCTTTTAGTCATGGATCGAGATACGAAGACCTTTTTTCATGTCTTCTTTCTAAGAAGATGGGCGAAGTAGTGAGAAAGTGAGCGATAAAAACAGTGGTCAAAGAAACCCCCAATCTCTTCGCTTTTGCCATCTTTTAGGGAGAAATATGCCTCCTTTTCGAGATCCGGCTGCTACAAGATTGTGTGCTCTTGTGGGCGACCTTATGTTGGTTAAACATGCCGGCCTATTCGCCAAAGAATGGAGGAACACAAAAATGCTTGTAAGGAGGGCTGAAGTGGCAGAATACATCACAGAGACTGGAGATGAGATGGAATTGCTTCAAACCACTAAGTTTGCTGATTATGGTGCGTCTGCTGTCGAAAGATACTATGGAAATTAATGGATTAGGGAAGAGGTTGAATGTGAGGAAAGGCGGTAGAAAGTTGAGGAAGAACCTTTTATGTTTTTTTTAATAAATAGGGTATCGAGGCTACCAGTAAATTAGTTCAATTAGATGTATTCACCATATTTCGTTGAAGGTGATGAAGTACTAATACTTAAATTTTCCCAAAACGATATGAGTAGGGCTGACGTTTCCATTGAATTTCACATAGCCTTGCTTTCTCAACAGGTGTTCTCATCCACAGTATCTACCTCACCTAGGACTACTCAACACCCTCAGTGGAAGTCGAACCATGAGGGTGCAACGTGTAATCTCGACGCGTTAGCGACTACGCCACATTGCTATGAGTGCGCGTGGGTCAATACGTAGATGTGAATTTCAAGAAAGGCCAGGCATTCTCCCAATTTCACATTCTTTAGTGGGATTGTCGAAGAATAAAAGTTATATTTGCTATGACAATCGACTACACTACATAATTTTGGTTTATAAGTAGGGTTTCGAGACTACCCGTAATCGATCGACTTACATGTCATTGTGTGAAAATTCAACTACCATTTCTTCATCACCTTAAACGAAATGGGGTGAATACATCTCATATAATTGATTTACGGGTAGTCTCTAAACCCTCCTTATGAACGAAGAATAAGTAAATGTCGTCGATTGTCGTAACAAATACAACTTTGCTTCACCGACAATCCCACCAAAGAATGTGATATAGGAATGGTCTTGCTTGAAATTCGCATCTGTCTTATGACCCACGGGCACTCGTGGCAATGTGGCGTAGCTGTTAACGTGCCGAGATTACACGTTGACTGTGACGAATGGTAGTAGAAAGCTGAGAAAGTTGATACATAGATTGAAAGAGAGAGAGAATGTTGATCCCCCATCCAAAGAAGACGATTCAACTTGTTGGCTCAGTGATGGTTCTCACTTCACTCGCACTCGTCCAAAATGTTAGATTAAGCTCGCCAGCCAAAACCAGACGTACCAAATTACGCAGTCCCAGTCAATTGGGGACACCCATTGCTTATGAAAATACATGCTGAAGAGTAATAGGTTCTGACCGGTGATTTCGTATCTTGACTTTCACACACACAGGCTTACATCCGATCCATTGAACCAGAGTTACTCACAGACTAATGCAATTTCGACCATGCTTTTTTCCTTGATTCATCAAATTTGATGACTTGGAGTTGTTAGAGGCCTTTTTTCTGATTTCTCTAATTTATGGCCGGTTTTGCGTTCAGACGGAGGATGTCTCATGAACGTCCAACGGCTGCCGTTGTCATCTGGTGAGATCAACCTACCAATCTCTTCACCATGCACTTTCACACAAGATGTAAGTCTCCACAATATCATTAGTCTGCTTCGAAGCATATAAGAGTAATCCAACTAAGCAGCAACCTATGCTTCCGGATGGAAATAGCTACAAGTTAAAATTGAATGAGGGGGCTCGAAAGAGAAAAAAGTGCTGAGGAGTTGTCCAGACATTTCATACACCGATTATAAAAATATTTTTGACGCTTTTATAAAACAAAAGTCAAGCCGCAATTTTGTTAGAGCTTAGTTGCGCGGCTAGTGGCATTAATGTTGCTCGGGGAGCCGCGGCAGTAGTAGACAACAGAAATTCTGAGTTGACAGTTTAGGGTTCAGAGAGTAGTGAAAATAGTGAAAAGAATGTGTAAAATTAACTCCTGTGACAAAAGAGCGAAAAATGCAGAAATTTGCCCGATCTGTTTGAGCTATTGTAGGCTAGTATGTTATATGTTCTTCGTCTTTAATATAAGAGTGAGGGAGAGAGATGGAGATAAAGAGAGAGTATAGGATGTTAAGTTCGGCCTTAGAAAGTTCGATTACATGAAGCAAGATTCAGGAAGAATGTCTAAGGGCTAAAATATCCAACGCCAAATTGACTCTGCTGTGGAGCTGAAGATCTGTATCAGCCTGGAAATGCCCTCGAATGAGCTAAAAGTGCAGTCCATCCTGAATGAGAATGGCCTTTTGCGATGCATAGCATAGTGAATCTTCAGTGATCTTTGCTAACATACATACAGCACCACACGAAAAAGGTTCATCTTAACACTAAGACTGTATAGTTAACCAAAGACTTGGGGTTGCCTTGTAATGTTGCCATTATGCGATGAAAATATTCTCTTGGCTCTGCCAACGTTAAGAAAAGAAGGCCCAAGTTCATTACCTGCTTTGTAGCTCAATTAAACCATAATCAGACCAAACGACCAATCTGTACCAACTTTTAAAAAGCAGAACCAAAATATTGGCATACATTAATCTGTACATGGATATACATAAAATTAATTTCCCACATCGCATAGTTTCTACAAGAAGGGAGCCAAAGCAGAAGACTATTTTTAATAAGGATAGTCAAACTTATTTATTTATAAATTGAAGCTGGCTTAAACAAGCCCGTATAGCTACACTATAATATCTTTAGAAAACTAGTAAATTTCGGCAGAGAACTCTAGAAGTACAGATAGTCTACCTGGCCGACCTGACCTAATAAGAGAGCTAATCGTTCCCAATAATATCGCTCCCTTCATTCTTGCCTTGGCATCATCCATGCTCCTATGGGATTTCAAACTTAGCACCTTAGGTGTTGTTTAGGCCTAGGCATTTGGCAATTTGTGATAAAAATTGAAGTTACGTTCTTCGGCGTGACTAATTCCTACAACAGTTAGTCCATTCCATTTGAGTAGCTTCGTCTTCATGTTTTAGAATATTAAAGTAAAACATTAATGATCATGTGAGTAAAGCGTTCTTTCCAGAGTGAATTTATAAGATTAATTTAATTAGCACACATACAAGATAAACTTTTAGTTGGAAGATTATAGTAAGACTATCTTTTAACTTCTTTTGGGCCACATTTGAGCCACCACGAAATCTCAAATACATGCATTTATGGCAATTCCCCCTAGAAACTAACCAAATAATTATATGTTTATCTATATATTTTTGTTCTCCGGCTTTTGAGTATATATATCACATGATCATTAATGTTTTACAAAAGCAGAAGAGAACAAAAATATATAGATAGACATATAATTATTTGGTTAGTTTCTAGGGGGGATTACCATAAATGCATGTATTTGAGATTTCGTGGTGGCTCAAATGTGGCCCAAAAGAAGTTGAAAGATAGTCTTACTATAATCTTCCAACTAAAAGTTTATCTTGTATGTGTGCTAATTAAATTAATCTTATAAATCCACTCTGGAAAGAACGCTTTACTCACATGATCATTAATGTTTTACTTTAATATATATATATATATATATATATATATTTATAAATAATATGCAAGATAGTCAATGAGGCTTCTTGGCTTAGAATTAGTATGAAGTTTTGCAAGAACTAGACTCAGCTTTAAGTATATTTATAAGATGGAATAGCAAACAAAAGCTCATCCCGTTCTCACTGGCATCGAGCAAGAATGTCTTTTGGATTGCACCCATCTGAACATCATAGTAAATTTAAACGACGATGGGAATCCACTATCGTCGTCTGGTAAGCTCGCACTGAGTATCAGTAGGCGCTTTCACACAAAATTAAAATCATCCTAACAGTCGCCTGAGTTAACCTGCACACTTTGCATGCGGTGATCTTGTACAAAGAGTCTTACTTGTAGATATTTGACACGCATGAAGTGTCTTCTGAGCAAGCCTTGAAGTTGAAGATCCGGCTTCAGTCGATTAATAAACACTACCTCGACGTCATTGCGTTGGCGATCTTTGTGCAAAAAGTCTTCTAGAAAGTGACGGACGGATTGTGTCGTCACGTCGCCACACACCACAACATGCAAGCGACCCTCTGCTTTGACATAGACGCCAGAATATCTGTTGACGCGAAACAGCATGTCAGCAATCTCAGGAATGGCGCTGGCAAAAGTGGCCAAGGCGAAAAGAATGAAAAGACAGGCAAAAGCTCGGCCCAGGACGGTTTGTGGCGTGACGTCGCCATACCCGACCGTCGACATGGTGACCAAACAGTAGTAGAGGCTTTGCATGTAGGTTAACTCAATCGCGTTGGCATACGGCGTTTTGCCGAATGGGTCTCCCGTGTTCTCTAAAAGGTGCATCATACCGGCTCCACTGAACCAAACTGCTATGAAAAAGGTGACTAGCTGGCACAGTCGGAGGCTGGCAGCCGATTCGATCATGTTCAAGTTGTGCAACACTTCGGCCAAGTTGACGAGTCGAAAGACGCGCAAACACCGAAAACCGATCCAGCTGCGGTTCATGATGAGTGACAAGAGAGTGGGAACCACCGTGAAGTAGTCGAGAATGGAGTACCACTCGAGCCAGAATACCAGTTCATCACTGGCAGCCGCAAAGCGGGCGCAGAAGTGGACGAGAAAGAAGAGATTTAGCAAAGAATCGACGATGCGAAATTTGCGATGGCGGATCTCACACTTTTCAACTTCCTGAGGCCACTTGCTCGCCTCGTAAACGTAGACGCCGAACGACATTAGGCTACAAATCATAGAGGCGCAAATGAAGATTCGACCAGGCCGGCCTTGGTAGCTGATCAAATGAATCGCCATCCCGTGTACCTGGTTGAAAGAAAAATTGGTAAAACATGAAAAAGCCCATAGAAACAGGTACATTAATTGGTTAAATGTTGAGTTTAATAGCAGATGTATAAAAATAACATTATAGGAAGATTTGGGACATAAAAAATAAAGTAGAATCAACCATTCTGACACTCAAATTCAGAAGCCGTACAACACCATCAGGTCATAAAATCGAGATCAGTCCAATTTCATAGCCTAGGTCTTTATAACCCTGGATTAATCTAGAATAATATGGACTTAGTAAATTTGCAAGAAGGGAAGAAAAGATCCACAAGTGGTTGAATTTTGGTACCCAAACTAGCAAGTTTCATTGTCGTTGCCAGACAGAGGGCTGGGAATGTACCAAATTGAAGCATCGATGTCGCCCTGACAACATAATCATGCTGTGAAAATAAGGTCAGACCAATACAATAGAGTGATAAGACGCTGCTAAAAATTGAGACAATGCCATGCTGGTCTCCATGCCTACACATCAAAATAGGGTTAGCTAAAGTATGAAGACGAGGACGGTGTGGCCTTTTGTATGGTCGTGGTCTCCTTTCGTTGTATAGAAGTTGTGTGACCTAGTTCTTGCAACTTGGTCATTTTGGTAGGAAGACTTAGAGGAACGCACCTTGTCCGTAGTCCATAGTAGGCATGATCATTTCCAGAGTCGGACCATGGTGTTGGTACATTCCCAGACGTTTCGCCGGTATCACCAGTGAGTCTTGCCATTCTCAGCAACCGAGCTACAACTCGTCAAAGAGACAAGTGAGGTCAATCTTTTGACCAACTTTCTGTCTAGACGGTTATGCTATCACTCCTCGTTTTGTCATGGTTCCTCTATCCATTTCTTACCCTCTAGTCTCGCCCTCGTCCTATCGCAACGTCTGACATGTTTATATTCCACAAGAGATATTTTTTGCCGAATTTACCGTGGCATCATTACACATGCTGTTTGCATTGCTCCTCTCACTTTCGAGTGGCTGATCTGACTCGAGCCTCCTCTCCACATCTGCTTCATGGGCCCGTAGGTCCGTTTCTAATCTTTCTGGTTGACCGATTTCACTCGGTTCCAGCCCCAGCGTACTGCTACTCATGATAGTATTTCTCAAGTCTTCAGTAGCCTGCTGAATTTCAAGTGGATTATTAGTCAATTTGGTCATAATGCACAATTTATGTGACCCAATCCCTCGCCCTAGTCACGGGAAACGTCGGGCGCCCAAAGTTGTAGTTGTTTGTTCGAGCTTACTGCACTCACTGAGATCGTCTTCACTTCATTTCCGAAACTTCCTCACCCTCTTCTTACTTGCGATCCCTTTTCTTCTGGTTTACGATAGATCCTTGAACCAGGCGTCTCCTTTTCGCTTGTCTTGTTGCATCCGAGTTTGGTTAGGCAAAAGGCAAGGTTATCACTGACTCTGCCTTCTTCCAATCTCCTGTTCATTTAATTTTTCCGCCAAGCATTTCAATGGCCTCCCTAAG